AGCCCTAGACCGAGGGAGAGGCTGTGTCCACCCGGAAGGAACTAGCTGGCATCCCCAGTGCCTTCTGCTCCTCAGTCCAAGTCCCCTGCTTCAATTTCCTTGTCTGTTAAGTAGAGAAGCATCCTCTCTGACATCCCAACCTTGGAAGGACTCAGAGGCTCCAAGGGCAGGCATCCTTTTAAACCAAGGTAGCTTTGGTTCTATCAAATACCAGCCGCCTCTGTTTAATGCTGAAACCTACCTGGCTTCTTTCTCGGGAAGCAGCTGTGATCTTTGTAGGCATTAGAACTACGAATGTTCGGCTCCTCCTGAATATTCTAAGTGCATCTGAACACTAACCACTGGCAAAGGTCTCTGAGGTACCAGGAGCGGGCAGAAATGACAAAGAAAACAGGAGAAAAGCAACCACTTCAGTATTTCCTTGCCATTCAGAAAGCTGAGGCTTTTTTTATCTAGGTGAGGCTCCTAGGCAAAAGGGTGTGTGTGTGTGTGTGTGTGTGTGTGTGAGAGAGAGAGAGAGAGAGAGAGAGAGAGAGAGGCGGCGGGGGAGGGAGAGAAATACAAAGAGAGACATAAGAACAGGAAGCGAAAGGGGAAAAGATTGGATGTGTCTCTGGGCCAGGTGGTTGCCTTCATTCCTGAATTCAGGGCTGATTCAGCAGCACGTAAATAGGATACAGCAGTTTGCAGAGGAGACGTGAGCAACCTGACTCTTCCCCCAGACACCCTCATCCGTGGAGTTGCGTGAGGGCAGACTCTGCACCAGCTGTCATCTCTTTCTTGAGTCCAGAGCAGGCTAAAGAGACGTCTGCCTAGTCAGATACAGCTTAGAAACAGGGGCAGGAAGGCTGACCCATCCACCCACAGAAAGAAGAGACAACAGCAGTGTAACAGTCTCGGGGGCTCAAAAAGTTGGCATCTCCCAGGAATAACCAAGAGCCCTCCAAGAAGTGGGTGTTTAGCCACCCTGTCCCCAGGATGTTTTCAAGATCCTGGGCCCCAGGATTCTGGGAAGGCAAAGAGGGAAAAAGAAGAAACATCTGACCACAGGAGGGGAGTAGAATGACCCCGTCCTTGATGGGGATCTGGCAGCGTCAATGGGAGCACCAGGAAAGGACCATCAGGAGTCCCTGTCACAATCCTGGCACTGCCTCAACTTGCCCCACTCTGCACCCCTGAAAAAAGCCACACTCAAGGGATGTTCAGGGGAGATGATCTGTTTATTGAAGCCAATAAATCCAAGCAATGAGACAAACTGCGAAAGGAACTCAGTCTGCTCCCAAAAGCAGACATATCACAGCTGTTGGGTCACAGAGGACCATTTAAGTTTCTCTCCCCGCCTTCTCTTCCAACCACCTTACAGCACACGAGTCCTAGAAAGTGCATACGTGGTTGTGTTTTCCCCCTTCGAGTGCACAAAGAGCAATAAGAACATTCTATAATTTGCCTTTGGTGAATTAACGCAAAATGTTGAGAAATGATTGTGTCCCCCCCACCTTCTGCCAATGTAACTTTTGGAGTGGATGTAGTGAGATGTTTTATATTTGTATGTATAATATATCTATATATAGACTATGTACAAATGCATTAGTAAGCTTCAATAAAGGAAGACATAACAAGAGGCACAGCAAGAGACACAGGCTGTCTATCTTAAGACATAAGTAGGAAGAAAAATGTCTTGATTCATCACCCGTCCCAATTGAACCAAGCCATTCCTATGGCCTGGGACTATCCTTTTGGACCTGGCCAGTGTTTTCAATTGTCCATCTGCTTAACCTGAGCTTGCAAATACTTACCAGCCCAACCTTGCCCAGGAGACTCACAGGGAGAAATATGGATCCCATCAGCTTTTCCTTTTTATAAATCGGGAATAACTGTGATTAATCCATAGTTAGGGGGGCGGGTAGCTATTTCCAAAGCCAGTTCCAAGGCACCTCAAGGCATTTCAGTCCTGAAAAAGGTGTGCTTTGTTCTTATAAGCTAAATCCCATGGGTTGGCCAGCTCATCTCTCTCTCCAGTGGCCCTTTAATTAGGAGGAAGGGACAGAATTCCAAGAGAGCAGGAGAGGCAGGGGCAGTTGGGAAAACCAGCAGACTGCACCCCGCAGAGCGCAGTGACAGGAACATGCAGCCACCAGCAGGGCCTGA